GAACCCAATACACTTATGCATAGTTGATTGTTTTATTCCTTTACAACGCACCCCCCCCCCCCACACACACACACTCCTTGCAGCTGTTTATTATCACTTCCATAGTTTTCAAAAGTGCAGCCGTGTCTTGGAGTTTTTGAGACAGTGTGATTGTCGTACTTTATGAAAAATTACTCTTATCGGGAACGTTGGCGTACACTCGATGAGCTATTGGCGTAACTCCGTTGTGAGTTTTACACAGAATGCACCCAGGTGCAAACCCAAAAATCCAAACCAAACCTCTATTCCTTGTATTATAAACCTCTGGCTGTGCGAGGGTGTTGTGGGATTATTCTCTGAGCAGATATGCAGTGGATATTTTGATCATTTCGCAGTAAATATTTGGCCCATGCAACTGTACCTTTTTATTTATGACTATTTCTTATGCTCTATTAACTGATAGTGTCAATTTCCCTTTATCTCTGTGTTACTCATGGTAACATTAACCCCTTCCTGCCGGGTGGCATGTGCGTACATGCCATGGCATGCCTGGACTATATTGTGAGTGGCATGTGCATACATGCCATGGTGCGCCGGTCCCGTTTAATCCAAGATCAACACAGTTACCTCTATTCTTTTAACCCATTGGCACTATCCAATACACACATGCATGCATGCATACATACTAAGTCAGGAAGAAGATGGTGTATAAAAATGTGTATAAACACAATGATAATTCTACTGTCACTGCTTACCTCCTATCTACTCCTCAGGTCTTCAAATTTTGCAGTGGCCGCTGCAACAAACATTTTAAGAGAAAGAGGAATCCCCGTCGCACTAAGTGGTCTGGGGTATTCAGGAAGGCATCCGGTAAGGAGCTCACTGTTGATCCTGCCTTCGAATTTGAGAAGAGGAGGAATGTGCCTGTTAAATACAACAGAGAGCTCTGGGAGAAGACCGGTGAGATTTTTAAAAATTTTGATCTTGTTTTTTATGTAGATAAGTATATAAAATATTTCCAGTTGAGTTTTGTTTTTGGGGGTGACTATTTTTCATATTTTTTCTATGGTAATGTTATTGATCAGTGATATTATGTTGATATTATTTCTCTTTTGATATTGTCAATAATATTAAGATAAGGCCTGATATCAGTAATGTCAGTGATATCATTATTGTTATTGATTTCACGGTTTTATTTTTGTTGTTGGTATTATCGTTATCGTTATCGTTATCGTTATTATTATTATTATTATTATTATTATTATTATTATTATTATTATTATTATTATTATTATTATTATTATTATTATTATTATTATTATTATTATTATTATTATTTGATTTTTTATATAATTTTAATTTTTTTTATCATTTATTATTATTATATTTATTATTATTTTAGTATTATTATTTTATTTTTATTTCATTTTATTTTATTATTTCATCATTTTATTGTTGTTATTGTTGTTGTTATTATTATTGCTATATTTATTACTATATTTATTACTATAATGGCTATTAATATTATCATTATTATTATTACTATTAATTTCATAATTATCACAATTTTTAGTATTTAGCAAACAGAATGTAATCTGAAAGTCATCCTTTTGATACTTAGGAATACATTTCATTATGGTTTTAATGCTTTGTTCCACATGCTTTTTCCTTCATTAACCTCATCTCTGCCCTCGACAGTGGATGCCATGAAGCGAGCTGCAGAAATCAAGGAGAAGCGAGAGAACCACCACATTATGAACCGCCTTGTGCACTCCAAGGAGGTTGACAGAATCAGGCACTTGTCGGTGGTCTACAAGCACTTGAATGTCCTCTACTCTCCGGCCGCAGGATTGAGAAAGGTGCGTGACTGGTGGTTTGGTGTAGGCATGATCTGTTTAATGGATTTTCTTTTTCTTTTTTTTCCCCCTACCAAAGGGATGAAAGGATAAAGAGCATCGGGTCAAAATGTGTGTATATAAGTGTATATATATGTACATGTGTGTATATATATGTATATATAATATATATGTATCTATAGATATGTACATGTATCTGTAGCTATTTGCTTATGTATATATAGATATATTTAATTTTTATTATTATTATTATTATTATTATTATTATATTTTATATGTTGATATATATATTATATATTATATAAAATGTATATATATAGAGGTAGAGGTATGATTATAAGGATGGAGTGTTTAATTCAGAGCTTAATTCGAACAATTTCATGATCTTACACCTTCTACACCTTGCAGGGAAATAAGGTACTGGATGTTGAAGAGGCCATGGAGGATGAGGGTGTGATGAACCCACTGAAGGCCACGACGAAGATGGTGGAGGAGAAGATCAAGAAGCGGAAGCTCATGGCAGAGGAAGCCATGGAAGAGGATGAGGGAGCCATGATAGAAGAGGGGGCGGATGACTAAGACGAGGAAGGCGTGATAGTAAATGTGGAAATGTGAATGTGATGATGATTACAATGTAGATGACAAATAAACTATTGGTTAAGACATGTTTACATTATTTCTTTACCTTTATATGTTGTTAGAAGTAGTTAATATCTGGATATATATTTTTTTTACAAAGATATCAAAGTAATTAGATTTTCTATGAGAAATGAATATGTACTGCAACAACTTGAAGTTAATTTAGCTCATATTAATGGAATGCAGTTTCTGGTAATGGACAAGTTAATTTTGTCACCTGTGTATTTCAGAAGTTAGAGGTATTGTTTTCCCTATTTTTTCCATGGTTCTTCTCCATAAAAAATGTTTGAAATTTGGAAAAAAATAATAATGGGTTACTAAGCAATACGAAAAGAAACCTTTTTCTAAGTAATTCATTGCTGTAAATTTTCAAGGAATACAGATGCTCAGATGACAGCAAGTGCAAACAGACCTACCCTGTACAAGACATTGAAGCACCATTTTTATTTGCTGAATATCCAACAGATCTTCAGAGGTGAAGCCAGATATAACAGCCAGAAATTGGTTATGCATTTGATGATTGCTGGCCAAAATAAGTTTGAAAGCCTTTGGCAAAATGTGCTAAAAATTTTAGTACTTACTTAATTTAGGTATTTAGCACTCAGGAAATAACTAATAAGTCTTGGCAATCTGATCAACTGGAATGCATGTGCTTCTGTAGAATTTACTTAATATTTATATAACATCAAGAAATGCATATCAACTAAATGCAGAATATAACTTTCATATGTAATATGATTAATGTGTTCACTGCATAGTGGGCCACTGGTATACCATGTGGTAATCTGCCCTTGTGGGCCACTGATAGCCTATGGGGAAATATAGAGTTTAAGTATTTGCACTATTTTAGCACACCTATGAGTGCAATTATGTAAGTAATGTTTTTTGTGTTAACAAAGATATAGTTGAATATCATAAAAAAACACTTTCAAACTAGTTTTGATTGAGAAAAAACAAGGAATATACCAATATTCCTCGCTCTGCACCATCTCATTTTTGTATTAAGTATGACTTGTTTTTCTCATTTTTCTATCAGTATTATTGAAATATACATAATCAAGTGTAAAACAAATTCATTTACTTTTTAACCATGTGTTTTCCTAAATTCTACTTCTGTACAACAAAATTTATTTTTGTGTAAAATGAATTTTAAATTTCATCCTTTTTGGCTAATGAATGTTACTTCCCCCCCCCAAAAAAAAAAAAAAAAAAAATCTTTCTGCAAATGAATATTATTCCATACAATGTTTTTCACTGAAACATGCGATGCAGAGATGGGATTTCCCATTGCAAGTGTCACAAAATGACAGTCTCCTAGTTACATTACGTGCCTCATTGTGGCCTTCACTTACTGAGATTTTCCATTGTCCAATTGGCTGACCTATTAGAAAAAGCAACAGAAATTCTCTAAATTGTGAAACTGGCATTTCCTACTATGGAAAGTATTTTCTGTATTATACCCAAACATTTACTACAGTAAGTCCCCAGCTTAAGAACATAATGGGGACTGAGAGGCTGTTTGTAAGTTGAATTGTTTGTATGTCGAAAGTTGGGTCTCCATTACCTTTTTTCCCATTGTTTTAAAGTTTTGCTTACATTAAGAATACCTGTAAATAAATCCCAATAAGTATGACATACCTTATACAGTACCAGGCTCTTGAACTATATTCATGCCCGGGAAATTTGAAGTTTGCTAGCATCTTTCACACAATTTTTTGAACTTTAGTACTTAAAAGATTTTGTTTGTATGTATGGAATGTTCATAAGTAGAATGTTCTTAAGTAGGGGACGATATGTACTGTTTCCAGTGTGTGTGTGTGTGTGTGTGTGTGTGTGTGTGTGTGTGTGTGTGTGTGTGTGTGTGTGTGTGTGTGTGTGTGTGTGTGTGTGTGTGTGTGTGTGTGTGTGTGTGTGTAGCATTTTGCGACTGAACAGACAGTTCCTCCTTCTAGTACAGAGACTTGAATGAATCCTTGACTGAACTGGACCCCAGTCAGACTGCATCATAAGTAGACTAATCCAGGATGTTATCTTTATTCTTGTTATTATTTATGTTGCTCCAGTTGTTGTACTGTTTTTGTTTTTCATTTGTCATTCATTCTTCTCCCATTACAGATCTGTTCATCATCCATTTCTTCATCTTCCAAGGAATCATCTTTTGTCGTGGAAAGACTCCTCATATTGATTGTAATTGAATTCTTCATCAGAAGAATCATTGTCATTATCATCAATTCCGCTTTTTCCAGCTCAATAGAGACATTCGGTGTTCATCATCTATAAGAACAGAATAGTACCAATAAGGGCATGTAAAACACACAAAATTAGCCATGGATATGCCACTAGTAGCTAATGAAAGTGGAAATTACCACGTAAATAGAGGACAAACTTGCGTATTTTTACTTCCAAAATATTGAAAGCATTAGTCTGTTTTATACCATTGTATAGAATATATATCTTAATATATAGCCTATATATGTGTATTTTCCTAGACTATTCTGGAAGCGTAACAAGGATGGAATCAAAATACAAATCTTGAATATTTCAGTTTATTTGTACAATTATTTATGCACAGAACGGAACAGACAAATAAATAACCAATGCTCACACTCATATTCCAACACAACACACAAACCACACACTTTACTTGCATTCCAAATATTTGTTTTCATACACTTGCATTGTGTTTGTAATGAAAATGAAAAATCTGAATTCCTGGGATGCAAAGCTAACATAAATGAAGAGACAACTGCTGAAATATTTTTATAGAGAGAAATTATGCTTGCAATAACATAAGCAATTTATATATACTGATCAGATAATATAAAGATTATATATGAATTCGTGCTAGTTTGTTTTTCATTAGCACTTAATTGACTCTGAATCTCTGTTAATAATTACCATTAAGATTAATGTCATATACATGTCTGGAAAATGGATTAACAATAATGCATATTATTTCACGTATATCATATTTACATGTAACCTATTACCTAGAATCCAGAATTAAAATGTAATTTAATCTTCTCAAACGCATATAACATCTTACCGTTTTTGCAAACTACGGAAAAATGCATTCAAAGGTAAACTTACTTTTAGTGCAGTCGAAGTCTGGATCATCCTGTGCCCATTCAGAGCCACTATAGGTGATGCTGGACGTGAGGTCGCCGTCAGGGTTGTACATTCCTTCTGAGCAGCGAATAGATAGTTTTTTTCCCTCCCAAATAAGGCTCGGGTCACCGTCCTCAACAATCTCCCAATTGCCTTCTACTGATGGGAGTTCAGCATCATCTATCACTGAATTAGAAGAAAGTATGAATACTAGGACCAAGACCACTAATTGTTAGTATTTTCTTCTCAAACATTATTCAGGTTACATGTCATTTTAAGAATAAATTGGGTGCATTACTCACTTTCGAAGCAGTCAAAATCAGGGTCATCCTTGATCCATTCCCCATTGGTGTAGGTCACAATAGTACTGCTTTCCCCCTTGGCTGATAATTTTCCTTCCTCACATTCTAGCGTCGCTGTCTGGCCTTCTGTGTAGGGTGGGTCAGCTCCAACCAGGGTGGCTCCCGCAGGCAAGGGCGAAGAACCTGAGATTATAAATGAAGCATTTTACATGATGTTCGTTGGTAAGTTTATATGCTAATTTGTGAAATGATAGATCTTGTTAGGTGTCTTCCCTTATGTGCCTCATACGATAGCTAAATAAAAAGAAGGCGATGACCTGTATCAGAAGAAATGCAACTAAACTCACCATTAACGCACATAAAATCTGGATCGGCTTGCACCCACTCGGACCCAGAGTAAGTGATGGTAGACGAGATTTCGCCATTTGGGTTATACTGGTTGGGGCCGCAGCGGATCGTGAGCGTCTTCCCTTCCCAGATGAGACTTGGGTCGTCGTCTCCTTCCACGATCCAGCCGCTGCCCGAAGGTGGAGGCTGTGCTCCTTCCAACACTTAGGCACAAAGATTATAGTATATATTACCTATTCCATAGTGAAAGTAATCTGTGTGAGTCACTATGATCATGCACTTGTAGTAATAACTTTCATTCCATGCATTATGTACAAATAACTTATACAACATCTGTAAAAGCGGAGTTCATGGTGATTAACGTAGAAGAGGTATTCTTAAGAATGAATAATTCCAAAGTTCTGATGATGTAACATTGAAACTGAAGAAATCATGCATTTTGGAATCACCCCCTCTCATTCAAACTTTTTTTCACAGCCTCTGCAGAATAAACTCACTCTCATAACACTCAAAGTCTGGGTCTTCCTTCACCCATCCTGCGGCAGTGTATGTTACTCGAGTCATATTCTCTCCTTTGGCTGAAAGAGTGTTGTTCGCGCATACCAGTTCTAGTGTCTGGCCTTCCTCGTAAGGGGGGGGCGGGCCTATCAAGGTAGCTCCACTTGGCAAGGCTGTAGAAACTGAGGAGTGGAAAAGTACATCTGCTATTCTTTTTTGCAATCTGTAATACTTTAGTCTAAATGCCAGATGTCTAATCTATATTATTGTTCCTTATCTCTCTATGTAAAGGCAGAAAATTCACTGCTCACCGTATTATTTTCATTACCCTTATGCAGTGGGCATTTCTGATCATGATAACTGACTTCACATATTTTATTACTAAAGTAAGGCAATTTTGTAGGACGTTGTCGTGGGAAAGGTATTTTTCCCATGAAATACAAAGACAATTAAAAGAATGTCGGTAAGAATGCAAAGAGGATCAACCAAATATGTTACTAGGTTACTAGGAAAATAAGAAAAAAAAACAAAGAGAGAAGCACAAAGTAAATTCTACAAAGTAGACAAACGCTTCATCAATCCCCAACAAACCTACCATTAACACATTCATAATCAGGATCAGCCAACACCCACTCGGACTGCGTGTAAGTGAGAGTAGTGGAATCTTCGCCATTTGGGTTGTAGGCATAGGAGGCGCAGGTGAGGGTGAGAGTCTTGCCTTCCCAAATCAGGCCGGGGTTCTCGTTGCCCTCGACCGCCCACGAAGGGTC